TATATAAATATATTAATTGATTGATTTTAATTTTTCAGTTAAAATTCAGTTTAAAATAAACCAAATCAGATTGAATTTGGCTCTAAAACTTTGCTCAAATTGGTAACTGAAACCATTACAAATTACAGTAATTTACACACCTGAGATTATAAATTAATTATAATTTACACACCGCTGAGGAATCCCCACCTGAGGCTTTCTTGACTGACAGAATAAAAAGGAATTTGTAATTCAGGTTCCTTACAAATCGTGGTGAAGGAGGATATTTCTAAATCATGTGATAGTAAATGTGACATTAATGTGGAGGATTGCTGGGGTGGAGAAGTTGTTTGCCATTCTCATGGTTCTTTTCTCCTCTTGCTCAGGGGCACTGCAGTGACTTGTTGATATTTCAGACTCAGCCTTATTCCCTGCTCAGGTGAGTTGGAGTTACAGAATCCCAGACTGGTTTAGGCTGGGCTGAAATCCCATCGTGTTCCCTGGGCAGGACACCTCCCACCACCCCAGGTGTTGTTTCAGCACCTGCTTCTGCAGAAAGGGGGTGAAATTCCCAATTTCCTCCTCAGGAAATACCTGAGCCCTTTAGTGTGTGGTGCTGCACAGCAGTTGAATCACTGGTGCTGTGTAATACCCTACGCCTGTGATTAATGCACATTAGCTTTTGCCAGGTGTCATTTGTTAGAATATAAATAATTTACTTCAAATTTTTTTTTTTTTTTTCCTATTTCCCTTCCTCAGGCTGTGTCTGGACTGCATTGGGAAGAACGCAGCTCTCTTGGAGAAGCAAATTCCCTGCTTGCCCCCCAAACTCGTGCAGGAAGTGCTGAAAAAAATCACATTTTGGGCAGCCATGACCCACAGGCAGGAGAGGAAAGCTGAGACTGAGAGACAGAGCCAGCTGCAGAGCACATGAGGCAGGGCAGGGAGCTGTGGGACACCTCCAGGGCTTGTTCAGAGCTCTGCTGCATTCCTGAGGGAAGTTTGACAACAAATCCTTTTCTTGGGAATCTCGTTCCCTGCGTTATGGAAACTGATCCAACTTCATTTCTAGATAATTGTTCACCTCTGCCCTCGTGGTTTTGGCCACACAGCCCTCACAAGCTTTTGTTCTTTTGGAAGGGGACATTTTGTTCTTTTGGAAGGATCCATTTCAGCTGGATAAAATATGGTTTGAGTTTAAAAACCCTCCTTGGCCTTACCCCCAAAAAGATAAATTCACCTCGGTGTCTTGGGGATGTTCACACTTTGTCAATCTTAGAGGTAACAAATTTACCACCCTCAAATGTTGGTTCCACCAGGCTCTGACCAAAATCCAACCCTGGAACCTCACACTCCAAGTAGGAAAATCCATCTGGGAATTGTGGAACTTGGAAGAAAAAGCTGCAACAGCACCTTGTCTCTATCAAAAAACTTCAGTTCATCACCTGGTTTTACTGTTTCTGTCATCAGGAAATCCTTTTGGAAATAAGTTGTATATTGTATTTTGGATGTGCAAAGTTTATATTTCATTCTTGTTAGAAAAAACAACAACAACAAAGTTGTTTATTTATTGTTTAAAAAAAAAACAAATGTAGTACTGGTTATTTTTCTGTTTCAAATATTTACTTAACAGGAGCACAGTCATTAAAATTTTATAGAGAGTTGAAGCAAGAGGCATTTGGACACATTTTTGATGGTTTTAAAGTCTGTAAAAATTAATTATTTGGGGGAAAGAGCTTTGGGGGGAGCAAATTTGTTTCAAAAAGGAATTTTTGTGATTTGTTATTTTAACAGCCTCATTTTATGTGCTGAACTCCCTGCCCCCCATTTTTAGGAGGGGTCCAGATGCCCCCCTGAGCCCCAAGGTTTGATTTTGGGGGGCTCAGGTGCACACCAAGGTCTGATTTTGGGGGTTTGGGATTGACTTGGTGGATTCAGCTGCCTCCCAAGGTTAATTTGCAGGGGCCCAGGTGCCTCCAGGTTCATTTTGTTGGCTTCAAGTGCCCCCAGGTTAATTCTGGGAGGGCTGAGGTGCCCCCCGTGGTTAATTTGGGGGTTTCAGATGCCCCCAGGGGAAATTTTGTTGGGTTCAGGTGCCTCAGTGTGAATTTACAAGGTTCAAGTGCCCCTGGGGTTAATTTTGGGGTACTTCTGATGCCCCAAGGTAATTTTTTGGGGTTGTCCAGGTGCCCTCATGGTTAATCTGGGGAGGTTCGGGTGCCCCCAGTGTGAATTTGGGGGCTCCAGCTGCCCTCGTGGTTGGTTTTGCTCCCAGTGTTGATTTTGGGAGGTTCAGATGTCCCCAGTGTGAATTTGGGATGGTTTGGGTGCTGTGATGTTAATTTTGGGGTTATTCAGGTGCCCTCAGTGTTAATTTGGGATAGTTCAGGAGGCCCCAGGGTTAATCTTGGGGTTATTCAGATGCTCTCAGGGTGATTTTTGGGGTGGTTTAGGTGCCACCAGAGTAAATTTAGGGGGGCCTGGGTGCTCCAGTGTTAATTTGGGGTTGTTTGTGTGCCCCCAAGGTGATTTTTGGAGTGCCCAGGTGCCCCAGTGTTATTTGCGGTGGTTCAGGTGCCCTCAGGGTGAGTTCTGGGGTATTTCAGATGATCCCAGTGTTAATTTTGGGGCAGTTCGGGTGCCCTCAGGGTGATTTTTGGGTGGTTCAGATGCCCCCAGGGTGAATTTTGGCGTGCCCAGGTGCTCCAGTGTTAACTTTGGGGTGCCCTTGTGCCCCCGGGGTGAATTGGGGGGTGCCGGTGCCCTCAGGGTGAATTGTGGGGCAGTTCAGATGCTCCCAGTGTTAATTTTGGGGCAGTTTGGGTGCCCTCAGGGTGAATTTCGGCATGCCCGGGTGCTCCAGTTTTAATTTTGGGGCGGTTCAGACGCTCCCAGTGCTAATTCTGAGGTGCCCGGTGCCCTCAGGGTGAATTGTGGGACACCTCAGGCACTGGCAGTGTTAATTCTGGGGTGCCCGGTGTCCTCAGGGTGAATTTGGGGGTGGTTCGGGTGCTCCCAGTGTTAATTTGAGGGCACCTCAGACACTCGCAGTGTTAATTCGGGGGTGCCCGGGTGCCTCCGGGATGAATTGAGAAGCACCTCAGACACTCGCGGTGTTAATCCCGGGGTGCCCGGTGCCCTCAGGGTGAATTTGGGGGTGGTTCAGGTGCTCCCAGTGTTAATTTTGGTGCGGTTCGGGTGCTCCCAGTGTTAATTTGGGGGCACCTCAGACACTCGCAGTGTTAATCACGGGATGCCGGTGCCCTCAGCGTGAATTCTGGGGTATTTCAGATGCTCTCAGGGTGAATTTGGGGTCACCTCAGGCACTCGCAGTGTTAATTTTGGGACAGTTCAGACACTCGCAATGTTAATCCCGGGGTGCCGGTGCCCCGGTCCGGGTTCGGGGGGTATTTCAGATGCCCTCAGGGTGAATTTTGGGACAGTTCAGACACTCGCAGTGTTAATCCCGGGGTGCCGGTGCCCCGGTCCGGGTTCGGGGGGTATTTCAGATGCTCCCAGGGTGAATTTTGGGACAGTTCAGACACTCGCAGTGTTAATCCCGGGGTGCCCGGTCCGGGTTCGGGCTGCCGGAGCCTGCGCGCTGCCGCCGGAAGGTGCCGCCCGCCCGGCGGATGTTGCGGCGCGGCCGCGGCTGAGGGAGGGAGGGAGGCCGGGCCGGCGGAGCGGCAGCGGCGGGGCCGCGGTAGGAGCGGGACGGGCCCGGGGCCGCGGGGGGCTCGGGGGGCTCTGAGGGACGCGGGGCGGGCTCGGGCCGGGCCGGTAACGGCGGCGGGCAGCGCTCGGGCGGTCGCGATGTCGCGACAGTTGAGCGTGTCGTGAGGAGCCCGCCGGGCCCCCCCTGCGCTCAGGCATGTCGCGACAGGAGAAGGTGTCGTGAGGAGCCCCCGGCTGTGGTGTGTGAGGGGGGCGGGCAGAGCCGCAGGGCTGCGGGGAGCTGAGGGGGAAATGGCTGAAGGGACGCGGCCCAGCGTGTCTGAGGGGCAAAATGAATAACAGATTATTGTGCATATCTATTGTAGATAAATATTATATCGCTGTTATTTCTCCGAGGCGGTGAAGACACCGCTAGCTCGAAGCAGGCAGGTTTCGCGGGGCTGTGGGCAAGGCTTGCTAATCTAAATTAGAAATCGTAATTAAAGCTCACAGATAACTCCTCGGAGGTGGTGCAGCGTCTCCGTGGCGGAGTGATTAAAATTAAACAGCAAAAACCCCTCAGGAGTGGTGTGTGGGAACAGCAGAGTATCCAGCCTGGAGTGCAGGGTGTGAGTGTCCCACTGAGGTCCTTTTCCCTGGATTTGGGTGCACAAATTTGGACTCTTTGGCTTCCCTGAGCTTTGGGTCTGTGTTTTCCCAGCACAGCCTGGGGTTTGGAGCAGGGACATTGGCTCTGTGGGACATTGTCCTGTGGGAAGACACTGAAAAGCTCCAGGATTTGCTGCTATTGTAGGCAAATCTGTCAAATTTATTCCCATTTGGATTGGTTTTTTTGACATCGTGGGGTTTTCTGACATGGTGTGGGTTGGAAGGGACCTTAATGCTCATCTTGTGCATGGGCAGGGACACCTTCCACTGTCCCAGGCTCATCCAAGCTGGCCTTGGACACTTCCAGGGATCCAGTGTCAGCCACAGCTTCTCTGGGCAAATCAATTGAAGTATTTATAGATAAGATTTTAAATATTTTTTAAAACGGACACTTTGAGTCGCACTGGCAGCTGTAACCATTACAAACCATGCACCAGTGAGGAATCCCTACCTGGAATATTTTTGACTCCCGCTCATCTTGGTTTTTCCAAGCCCCACACTGTGTCAGGGGAGGGTCAGGATCTCAGGGAAAGGTTTCACTATTCCAGAGGGTGCTGGCACAGGGAACGGGCACAGGGAACGGGCACAGGCCCGAGGAGGGTTTGGGATGCGCGGGGTGGGATTGTTGGGGGTCCGTGCCGGCCCCGGCTGATCCCGCTGCGGGAATTGCGCGTCCCTGTGCCTGCAGCAGTCCCAGGATGGCCGATGAGAACGAGGAGCTGCCGGCGGACGAGGAGCTGCCGGCGCCGGCCGAGGAGGGCTTTGAGCAGCTGGAGAACGACAGCCCCGCCGAGCGCAGCGGGCACGTGGCCGTCACCGACGGGCGCTGCATGTACGTCTGGGGAGGATACAAGGTACAGCTGCCCCAGCCTGGGAACTGTGTGCCATCCATGCATCCATCCATGCATCCATCCATCCATCCATCCATCCATCCATGCATCCATCCATGCATCCATCATCCATCCATTATCCATCCATCCATCCATCATCCATCCATGCATCCATCCATCATCCATCCATGCATCCATCCATCCATCCATCCATCCATCCATCCATGCATCCATCCATGCATCCATCATCCATCCATTATCCATCCATCCATCCATCATCCATCCATGCATCCATCCATCATCCATCCATCCATCATCCATCCATGCATCCATCCATCATCCATCCATCCATCCATCCATCATCCATCCATCCATCCATCCATCATCCATCCATCCATCCATCCATCATCCATCCATCCATCCATCCATCATCCATCCATCCATTATCCATCCATCCATCCATCCATCCATCCATCATCCATCCATCCATCCATCCATCATCCATCCATCCATCCATCCATCCATCCATCCATCCACCATCCATCCATCCATTATCCATCCATCCATCCATCCATCATCCATCCATCCATCATCCATCCATCCATCCATCATCCATCCATCCATCCATCCATCATCCATCCATCATCCATCCATCATCCATCATCCATCCATCCATCCATCCATCATCCATCCATCCATCCATCCACCATCCATCCATCATCCATCCATGCATCCATCATCCATCCATCCATCCACCCACCATCCATCCATCCATTATCCATCCATCCATCCATCCATCCATCATCCATCCGTCCATTATCCATCCATCCATCCATCCATCCATCCATCCATCATCCATCCATCCATCCATCCATCCATCCATCCATCATCCATCCATCCATCATCCATCCATCCATCCATCCATCATCCATCATCCATCATCCATCCATTATCCATCCATCCATCCATCCATCCATCCATCCATCATCCATCCATTATCCATCCATCCATCATCCATCCATCCATCCATCATCCATCCATCCATCCATCCATCCATCCATCCATCCATGCAGGACTCTGGGGAGTTGCTCCTCCCCCAGAACACAGCAGCAGCTCCAGTTGCAGATTTGTACCTTGGCCCTCAGGGGTGTTTTGCAACGCTGGGATAAATCACGGGTGTGAAAAGCTTGGCAGGTAACACGGATTTTTGGGGTGTCGTTTGCCTTTGGCAGAAGGTGATGGAGGGAGTGTTGTCTGATTGGAGCTGTGCACCCTGGGAGTGGTGATTTATTTGCACAACTGTATTTTTGGGTGGTATTTTGTAATTAGGTTTTGTAATTTGTAATTTTGGGTGGTAATAATTTTGTTGGGGTGGTGAGGATGCCGGGTTTGTTGTTGTCACACGGGGGGGGGTGCGGCACCACAGAATCATTTCAGTGACAAAGTGAACTCAGTAAATAAACTCCTGTCAGGGAGGGGGTGGGGGAAGGAAAAAGGAGCTCTTGGCTCATTTCTGCTCCCTGGCTCAGGCTGTAAAACAAAAGTTTAACTTCATTTAGCCCTGTCTGGCTCTGCTGGGAGCTGATTGTCCCCAGCAGTGCTAAATTGGGCTGATTGTGCAGGTGGGAGGCGCAGGAGTGTGGGAAGCACGGCGCTGCTCCTGCTGGGATCCGTGCTGGGATCAGGTCCCAGAGGGGGTGCAGACATTCCCAGGAGTGTGAAATTCCTGTGTCAAACCCTTCTAACCCTGCTTCTCCTTCTGCAGAATGCCCAGGTCCGGGGGTTTTATGACTTCTACCTGCCGAGGGATGAAATATGGATCTACAACATGGAAACTGGAAGATGGTACAGTAAATCATTCATTTGGGGAAAAATCTGATAAATCCTTGGAAAGGGACTGAGCAGGGAGAGAATTCTGTGATGTCTTTGCTCCCATCTATCAAACTCTTACAAAAGTGGGTCAAATATTTCAGGTTTGGAGTTGTTTTTTTTTTCCTGTGAAAGCATGCAAAATGTTTTTCCAGGATGAAGTAGTAGAGGCAGCTGGGGCAGGGCAGCCTGGATGGGAGTGTGTGCCCACCAGTGTGAGGAGTTTTGGGGTTCCTGGGACAGGACAGAGCAGCTGGAATTTGTGTTTGTGCCACTCCTGATGCCAGGGGTGGTCAGGGAATCCCTGCTGAGCTCTTGGCTTGTCAGGAGCTGTTTTTCAAGGCTGATGCAGCCAGAGGAGCTGCTCAGTGCTGGCTGTGCAGGAATTGGGATTCCAGGTGTGCTCCAGCCCTCCCTGGGTCAGGCCCAGCCTGGGGCACGGGCTGCAGTCTCCTCTCTGTGCTGATGGTGTTTACAAACAGGAGAAATGCAGGAGCAAAGTGGAAAGCTGCAGTTTACACAGGTGAATCCTCTCTGCCTGAGGGTTCTGAGCATTCCAAACCCCTGAGCTGGGCAGATGGGATTCCTACCCCCAAAAACCCATGGATTCATTGAACTGGCTTTTCCTCACCCCTCCATCATAACAGAGTCATTTTGTGAATTGTTACATCTGAAAAGGTGGGAAGAACAGACTTGAACATCCACAGGGAACTGTGGGGATCCAAACCCTGCAGATGAGCCCACCCATCGCCGCTGGCTGGGAGCAGGGAAAGATCCCAGGCTGCTTTTGCAGGAAGAAGAGCAAGACTGAGGGAGACGTTCCCCCCTCCATGTCTGGCAGCTGTGCCGTGTGTGTGGACAGAGTGCTTTACCTCTTCGGGGGGCACCACGCCCGGGGCAACACCAACAAGGTCAGCACTGCCTCAGTTATGGGGTAATAAACAATCATGTCATAAAATATAATCCTTTCCCATGGGGTTGTGCCCTGGAAGCTTCACAGCACTGCAGGAACACCCCGAGCTGGCACCAGCTCTGTCCTTGTGCAATTCCCTCAGCAGTTGGATGGTGTCCCTGCCTCTGAGTTTGCTCATTTTAAAAGATGGGAGGTGCCAGAGTAGCCTGAATAATATCAGGAACTGATCTGGAACTGATCTGGGGTGGCTTGAAGTGTTTCTGTTCCCTGCAGTCTGTGGTAATCCCAGAATCCCAAAATCATTGAGCTTGGAAAAGTCCTCCAAGATCACTGACCCATCACCATCCCTTCAACCAGAATGAATTAATGATATTTTCTGATAGTCTGGCAATGTGGTTTAAATTAAATAGTTTTGGTCTGTGTAAATATGTAGTTTCTATATTTAAATATAAGATCATATATTTCCTATGTAAATATAAGCTAGAAGGAGTTGGAAGGAGTTTGTGCAGACAGTTTGAAACAAACCTCATTTGTAAGGTGTGATTTCTTCCCTCCTTTCATTTCAGTTTTGTATGTAAGTGTAGCAGCTGGTTCTCTTCCTGTACAATTATATAAATGCACAGAAGGGGTGATACTGTAAAAACGTCACTTTGTAAACTTCTGAACCACTTTTTAGTTGTAAGACAATTGTGCTCTGTACACACCTTCACTGTATCCCACAGCAGCTTCTGGATGCTGAAGCTCAGTGCCCAGAGCCCTGCTAGTGGTATAAAAGGTGTTTGAGTCTGAAAAAGGTCAGGACTTTGTGATTTGTGAATCCATCTTTTGTTGCAAATGTTTTCAGTGCTGTACTTCTCAGCTAGGAAAAGAACTTTTCATTTTATTACTGTTTTTATACCAACACATGTTGATTTAAAGTTGCTGTTTTAATGGTGGACTCAAGCTTTAAGCTGATGATGTGAGTTTGAAAAAATCTCTTTCTTTTCCCAGTTCTACATGTTAAATGCCAGATCCACGGACAAAGTGCTGCAGTGGGTGAGAGTGGAGTGCCAGGGGGTGCCCCCCTCGTCCAAGGACAAGCTGGGGGTGTGGGTGCACAAGAACAGGTGAGGCCCCAGAGGGAAGAGGCTCCTTCTTGGCTTCTCCCTCCTCCTCCTCACCCTCCTCACCCTGGGCTGGCTGGGAATGTTCCCCTGGAGAGGAGAAGGCTCCAGGGAGAGCTCAGAGCCCCTGGCAGGGCCTGAAGGGGCTCCAGGAGAGCTGCAGAGGGACTGGGGACAAGGGATGGAGGGACAGGAGCCAGGGAATGGCTCCCAGTGCCAGAGGGCAGGGATGGGTGGGAGATTGGGAATTGGGAATTGCTGGCTGGGCTGGAATTGCCAGAGCAGCTGTGGCTGCCCCTGGATCCCTGGCAGTGCCCAAGGCCAGGCTGGACATTGGGGCACCCTGGGACAGTGGGAGGTGTCCCTGCCATGGCAGGGGTGGCACTGGCTGGGATTTAGGGTCCCTTCCAACCCAAACCATTCTGGGATTTTGGAGTTTAACCCTTGTGCTGCCTTGGCCACTCCATTAGAGAGCTCCCACTCAGGAGATTTGCTGTGGGATTTGCTGTGGGATTTGCTGCAGAGACTCAGGAAAGGTGGGAACCCCCTGTGTGTCCCCCCAGCTGGGGATGCTCCGTGGTTCTGTGGCATTGCCCTCAGTGCTGCTTTTTCAGCTCCTTGATGTGGGGAGTGAGCTGCTCATTAGCACCCTGATAGCATCAGGGTAGATGTGGATCTGTGCAGGCTGCAGCTGAGGGTGGTTAATGAGGTGCTGCAGGTTCTCTGGCACTCCATAATCCTGCAGGAATTTCTGGCAAAGCCCTGCCAGTTCCTAACACAGCCTAAACCCCGGAGGTAAAACCTGGGGGTAATTCCCACTTCAGCTCCAGGAGAACAGCGTGGCAGAGGCCACAGGGCAGTGCCCAGGCTGCACATCCTGGCAGCCCCAGACATCTGCAGGTGGAGCAGAGCTTGGGAGCCTGAGCTGGGAACTGCTGCAGAGGGATTCAGTGTGCTGGGAGGGTCACTGGGGCAGCAAACCAAGGAGCTCCTCTGGTTTTCTGAGCACAGCATTTATATTTATAGTTATAGTTACAATAACAGGATTTCTCACAGCTCTTGCTCCATGTTTTCCTGCAGGCTGATATTTTTTGGAGGCTATGGCTATTTTCCCGAAGGGAAGCAACGAGGAACATTTGAATTTGATGAAACTTCTTTTTGGGTAAGTAACCCTGGAAGCCGTTTCTTCAATAATTTAATATTCAACTTCTAATTTATATAACATAATTTAATGTTCAACTTTTAATATTTCAGCACTGCTTGTAAAAACTTGTTGCTTTTTTATGTTTTTTTTTTTTTTTAAGAATTCAGGTCTTCCTAGAGGGTGGAATGACCACGTGCACGTTCTGGACCTTGAGACTTTCACTTGGAGCCAGCCCATAACCACGGTAATTAATGGTTTGCTGTCATTTAATTAAGTCACGGCTCAGTAATGGTATTTAGGAGTGTTCTTGGTATTTAGGAGTGTTCATTTAGACAGTGGATCTGTCTCAATGAATTTCATCCATTCATTGAGACAGATCCACTCTGCAAAAAGAGGAGATTTGCTTTTTCTTTAGATCTGTCTGCATCCATTGTTTCCTGTCTCGTGCTTTGGTTGATGCTGCAGCTGCAGGGCAGTGGGGTTTGCTGTCCCCTCAGTGCCAGGGCATGCTTGGTTCCTGTTCCTGCCCAGGAGATAATTAAACCCTGCTAATTGCAAATACACACATGTGGAGTGTGCAGGAACAGGGAAATGGGCTGGGGTTGCCACAGGGTTGGAGGAAGTGAAATGTGAGACAAGGAGCTCCAGATTGCCAAAGAATTGCTCTGGTTGCTTCATGCAGGTCTCAAATGGTTCAGAAACTCAAGGAAAATGGAAATGGTGTTTAATGGAAATCCCAGAATGGTTTGGGTGGGAAGGGACCTTAAATCTCATCCAGTCCCACCCCTGCCATGGCAGGGACACCTTCCTCTATCCCAGCTCGCTCCAGACTGTCCAGCCTGGCCTTGGACACTCCTTATTTATGAATTGAAGGATTTATTATGTCACTGCCTCATTTACAGTCTGTCTTCTGTGGCTGAACCCTGTGCTAAAAGCAGAATTTATACACTTGAAGAGGGAAGAAATAAACCCCATAAAAATGAGTTCCCTGACCTTCCATCCATCAGCAAACTGCACACAGGCTGATTTACTGGCTGTGCTTTTCACTGTGATCCTTGCTGGCTGTGAATGTGAGTTGGGCTGGGGCTCTGCTGTCCCCTGGTGCTGACCTGTGCTGTCCCTGTCCCTGTCCCTGTCCCCTCAGGGGAAGACGCCGTCCCCCCGCGCCGCCCACGCCTGCGCCACGCTGGGGAACAGGGGCTTCGTGTTCGGAGGCAGATACAGGGTAAGGGCAGCCCTGCTCAGGGTGGGGGACCCAAAGGGAGCAGGGCTGGGGCTGAGCCACGCTCTGCTCTCTTGCAGGAGTCCAGGATGAACGACTTCTACTGCCTGAACCTGGACACGTGGGAGTGGAACGAAATGTGGGTGCTCAGACTTGATCTGCTTAAAATTCCTGTGTCTAAAGGAATTCACATTGTCCTTGGGTCACTGCAGCATCCTGCAGACAGCTGAGAAACAATCAGGGCAGGGGAGAGAGGGGTTTTGCTGTCCCTGTGGTGATTTGGGTGTTTTTCCCGCAATCCAGACTCACCCAAGGCATCTGCCCCGTGGGCCGGTCGTGGCATTCCTTAACGCCCATCTCCTCGGATCACCTCTTCCTCTTTGGAGGCTTCACCACCAACAAGCAGCCCCTGAGTAAGTCATTCCAGAGGGACTTGGTGGTGGCTTTGTGCTCTGGAACAGCTCTGCACAGGAGCTGGAATGATTGCCTTGAATTCCTTCTAAATCCCTCCAACTCCTCATTCCACAGAGCAGGAGCTGCTGAGGGTGTGGAGACACCACAACTTCAGCAATTGATCTGTGCTAAAAATGTATCTAAAAGTGCAAATTGCAATTGGTGACAGCTTTACAATTCTCCTCCTTCACCTCCATAAATCTCTCTTACATTAAACACCTGTTGTCAAATGGGAGCCAGTGTTTTATAAGGTTTTTCCTAAAATATTTGATTTATCCAAGGACAGAAATGGGATGTGCTACACCTGAGTATTTGTATATTGCAGTAGCCTCCATAACTGATAGAATCCTGATTTTATCTGGGAATTTTGCTTGTTTTCAGGTGACGCCTGGATTTATTGTATCAGCAAGAACGAGTGGGTACAGTTTGAGCACAACTACTCTGAAAAACCAAGGTATGGCAGCTAGTTCCCTGGAAATGGGGACAGAAGGGGTGTGGAAGCACCTGGTGGGGGCTGCCAGAGAGAGGAGCCTGCTTCCTCCCCAGATCTCCCCTTTCACGTGTCCCAGAGGTGCAGTGGTTGGGTGCTCCCAGAATTGCAGGGCAGGCAGCCTGTGAAACAGCAGGAAGCACAGGGTTTGGGGTTTGATCTTGGAATTTAGGGTTTGATCTCGGGATTTGGGGTTTGATCTCGGGATTTAGGGTTGGTTCTGGGATTTGGGGTTTGATCTGGCTGCAGAAGGCTCTGAGCTGTGAGTGCCAGCAGCAGAGCTAACTGGAACCAGTGTCCTTGCTCTGCCACCAGCCAGGCAGGGGCTGGTGTCACCAGGGTCCTGCCAGAGGCCCATCCTGAGGAATCAGGAGTTGGTGACCTGCAGTTTAAAGCCCCTGTGATGCAGCAGTGTGGCATGGGACACACAGGAGTCTTCCTCCCTCTGCTCAGGGCAGTGCCCTGAGCCAGCTGAAGCAGTTCAAGCTCTGCTGCTTCCTGGTTTTGTCCCCTGGCCAGGCTGGGACGAGGGGGGATGTCCCCAGAGCTGGGTTTGGGTTAATGAGTGCTGCTCTCTGTTCCAGGCTGTGGCACACGGCCTGTGCCAGCGAGGAGGGCGAGGTGATCATCTTTGGGGGCTGTGCCAACAACCTGCTGGCCCATTCCAAAGCTGTGAGTTGCTTTTGAGCTTCCCCTTCCCGTGGGATGTGCAGTGCTGATCTCGTGGGGATCACAAAGGTGCACACACAAAGCCTGAGGGGGAAATGGGAAATGCTTTGCTCCTGCCCAAGGTCCCTCAGGGCTGGGAGCCCTGAAGGTTTCCCCCAGTGTCCCTGCCCAGGGCAGGCTGGAATGGGATGAGCTTTAAGCTCCTTCCAACCCAGGGATTCCCTGGTTGTGTTCCCTGTTCTGGCTCCTGCTGAGATCCCACAGAACCAATTCTCTGTCTCTGCCCCCCTCCAGGCTCACAGCAATGAAATCCTGGTGTTCTCCCTGCAGCCAAGATCTCTTGTAAGGTAAGAGAGCAGGAGTTCAGCATGGAACTGGCAGGGGGAAATTCCTGGGAGGGTGGGGAATGGCTGTGGCTGCCTTGCATCCCTGGAAGTGCCCAAGGCCAGGGTGGATAGGCTTTGCAGCACTGGAATGGTGAGAGGTGTCCCTGCCCATGGAAAAAGGCTGGAATGGGATGGGATCTAAGGTCCTTCCAACCCAAACCATTCTGGGATTCTAAGACAGGTGGGGCAGGGTTACCATTAGACCTGTTCATGGTCCTAAAACACTGGAAACCATTTCTGCCTCTCCCAAACGCTGCCAGAGCAGCAGCCAGGGCTGAGCTTGGAGCATTCCCTCCCTCAGCACCTGTGGCACGAGCTCTCAGTGCAGCCTGTCCCTGCCCCGTGCTGGGGCTCCAGTGCAGCCTGTCCCTGCCCCGTGCTGGGGCTCCAGTGCAGCCTGTCCCTGCTGACTGACCCTGGGCTGGGGCTCCAGTGCAGCCTGTCCCTGTGTTGCAGCCTGTCCCTGTGTTGCAGCCTGTCCCTGTGTTGCAGGCTGTGCCTGGAGGCCGTGATTTGCTTCAAGGAGCTGTTGGCCAGCTCGTGGCACTGCCTGCCCAAGCACCTGCTGCACAGCGTGAACCAGCGCTTCGGCAGCAACAACACCTCGGGCTCCTGAGCCCGGCACGGCCCGTGCCCCGCCCTCTGTGTGTAGGTAGTTGCTTCTCGCCCTCCCGTGCATGTGAATGGCCTAGAGAGAACCTATTTTTGTGTGAGATGTTCCAATAAATGTATTTGATGGCAGAGGAGATGAGCCTGAGCCTCAGCTGTGACCAGGTGTGGGGTTGTGCACCCCGCGGGGGTGAGGCCGACCCCGGGAGCGGGGGGATGTCCTTGGGGCAGAGCTGGGAATGCTGAGCGCGGCTCTGGAGTGAGGCTGTGGTGGTGTTCACCCACGGCTTCACAGATGCTAAGGTCAGAGAAGCAGGATGTGGAAGTCAGGAGCAGGATCAGGAAGTTGTCCCGTTGTCGGTCGATAAACTGTCGTAAACCTTGAGATGTTAAAGCACCACTACTTTCTGCTTGGCTGTAGTTTGGTTTTGGTTTGTTTTTTTTTTTTTTTAATTTTTATGTTGTGGAACTTGAGTTGTGAACCTTAGGTAGCAGATATTCGGCCCTGCGAGTGTAACTGGGAGTGTTTGTGCCTGTTCCCAGCCCTGTGGAGCTCCCCTGGATGTCCCCTGGCTGCAGGGACATGGAGAGGGGACACGGGGGACAGGGCCAGGCTGTGCTGCTGTGGGGAAGGGGGGGGGGATCATGTTTTAAGCTGTCTTCAAAAACTAATTAAAAACGTTGACTTGTAGAACAATTCCTGTGCTGTAATTCCTGAGAGATCCTGGGGTTTTCCTGACTCCCAGCCCTGCTCTTCCTCCCCTCCTCAGGGTTCTGGCACAGCTGGGCTGGGGGAAGCTGGGCCTGCACCTTCCTCTCTCCACAGCCAGGGAATGTCTGGGGGGAATCACAATTCCACCTTCCCAGAGGAAGCTTTCTCCAGTGGCACTGCCCTCCTGCAGGCTCTGGAATTGAACACCCTGGAGTTTTCCTGCCCCAAACTCCAGAGCCTTTGCCCAGCGCTCGAACAGAGAAGCAGCAGCAGGGGAGGACATTCCTGACCAAATGCCAGCAATTTAATTCCACATTTATCTGCAATTTGTATCAGAGTCCAGCTAAAGCAGCAGGAATGCAGGCCCTGGGTGCAGGGATTCAGTCCTGGTGCTGGGTCTGCGTCCGTCTGTCCCGGCCCCCAGCATGGAATCACTTCCTCTTCATGTTCTGGAGGTGAGGTGCAGACACTTTCACCTTCCCAGGAATATTTCTTGACAGATCTGTGTCCTGGGGCACAGGGGAGGGGAGAAGGTGACCACAGCAGGAAAACCTTTGTGGGGCCCTGGGCTGATCCTGTCCTTGGCCCTGGGGAGCACCAGGACATCTCCAGCCTCAACTGCCAGTGCCAGCTCCTGCCCCTGCTGCACAATTCCCACTCCCAGACCCAGAGGGTTCCCTGGGAGACGCTGCTGTTGTCACACAGTGCCACAGTGCAGGAACAGAGGCCCAGGGCTCCCACTGAGGCTCAGGGTCTCATGGGCACCAAGGCTTTCCCACAGGAGCTGGGCAGTGCCCAAGGCCAGGCTGGATGGGGCCTGCAGCAGCCTGGGATAGTGGGAATGTCCCTGCCCGTGGATTTTTAAGATCCTTTCCACCCCAAACCACTGCAGGGCTCTCTGACCCTCCCCAGGAGTACAAACTCCCCTGCTAAAGCCCAGCAGCCCCCCCAGTTTGGCAGCATTTCCTCCCAGATGTGGCCCCCGGAGCCCCTGCAGGCCGGGCTCACCTTGACGCTGCGGAACAGATCCTTCTCTCGGGCACTGGCCTCTCTGGACTGCATGAAATTGTGCAAGGCGATCTTGGCAGCTGCAAAAAGCCAGGGAAGAGTGAAGGAGCCTGGAAAGCAGCCAGCCTGAGCAGGCAGAGCACGGGGGGACCCAGGGCTCTCACACTGTACCTTTGCCCTTCTTCTGCGTGCCCGGCGTGAGCTTGACTTTGTACCTGCCCAAGGGAAGGTTCTGTCAGTGACACAAAGCCACTCGTGCCCTCCCAGGAAGGGGCCCCACTCACTTGTAGTTGCTCATGGCCGTGTAGGGAGCACAGATGGGGACAGCAAAGAGCAGGATGTCCTCGGGGTGGGGCTGCCCCGTCAGGGAGTCCAGCAGGGCCTCGCTCTCCTGGGACACAGAGAGCTGCACTGGGCCCTGTGCTCAGCCCTCCTGCAGGGCCCTTCCAAACCAACCCATCCCACGGCTCCATGAGCACCGGACTGCCATGGAATGCCCCGGCCAGGATTTGTGACTGATCTGTTCCATCACTAAAACCACATCCTCCCCTGGATCCTGGTTTTGGGCCAAGGGTCACCCAAAGCTCCCCCAGCAGACACCCTTCTCCTCCTCCATGGAGGAATTTAAAGGAATTCACTTATTCCCAGCCCTGGGCAACAGCCACAGCCTGTAATTACACAAAAGTAATTACAGAAAAGTTTGAAGCAATTTGATATGTAAATAAACTTCAAACTAAAGATGGACCTGCACTGCTCACTGTGTGATTCTCCAGCCCAGAGCCACCAAGCTCTGGGTTTATGGGGGATGTGGAGATGAACAGGGCAGGCATGGAGGTTAATTTTAATGAGATTAATTTTTAAAACACAATTAAGGTGGGTTCAAACAGTCCTGGAGGGCTCCCCATGTCCCAGTCCCAGCAGGAGCACAGCCCCACCTCAGCCCTTACAGAACTGAGCCTTTACCTCCAGTCCTGGCTGCTCCTGCTCCTGCTCCTCCTGCACACACAAACAGAGAACACATCAGGCCTGCAGAAACCACAGAGCTGCTCCTGCCTCCCCTGTCCCCAAGAAATTCTTTATTCAGCAGCCCCAGAAAGCCCCACTGTCCCTGCAAACAGAACTGAGCTGGTTTCACAACCAAGGTGAGAGCGGCACTGCCGTGGGTGGGAGGGAGGGTGGAGTTTCTTTCCAACCTCTCATTTGCCCGGCACACGCCGAGCTGGGAGGAGGAGATTTGCTCGGAGATAGCAAATCCCAGCAGCAGCAGGGCTGGCAGGAGGAGATTTGCTCGGAGATAGCAAATCCCAGCAGCAGCAGGGCTGGCAGGAGGAGATTTGCTCAGAGATAGCAAATCCCAGCAGCAGCAGGGCTGGCAGGAGGAGATTTGCTCAGAGATAGCAAATCCCAGCAGCAGCAGGGCTGGGAGCGGGGCACACCCAGCTCAGGGGGAGGTGCTGGGCGAACCCGAGCCTCGGGACTGCACCGAGCCCCAGATCTGCCCGTGCTGGCAACAGGATGAGCACAGGGATTGCTGCAGGGCTCTGGCTGCTCTGGGAACTCAGTGGGATCAGTGACAGCAGACACAGAGCTCCCCACAGTGCCCAGAATCCAGAGGGAGCTGCTCAGCCTCCTGGTCAGAGCTACACAGAGCCAGGACAGACACACGGGCACGTGAGGAGAGGAGAGAGCTGCCCACCTTCCCCTCCTGCTGCTCACCTTCCCCTCCTGTTCCTCACCTTCCCCTCCTGCTCCACCATCCCATTTCCCATCCCAGTCCTCACCTTGTCCTCCTGCAGCTCATCCAGGCCTGCCTCCTGTGCCTCGTGCAGCACAATTCCTGCAGGCAGGCTCTCCTTGCCCCCTCCTGCTGCACGGCGCTGGGCTTTGGGTTTCTGCTGTTGCTTCTTTGCTGCCTCTTCTTTTGTCTTGCCCTTCTTCCCTTTTTTCCCTTTGTCCTCCCTGTTGGAGCCTGCAGACTGTGGTGACACAGGTGGTCAGGGCTGGTGACAGAGCCCCCACACCCCGGGGAGGGCACAGCTCCCCCCTCACCCCCAGCAGCTTCATGATGAGCTCCCTGTCCTCCTCGTCCTGGTCCCTGTACTTCTCCTTCATCTTCTTCATTTTACTCTGCAGGAAGAAACACCAACAGCTTCAGAAATGACAAATCTTAGCAGAGAACTGCAAGCACAGATGCTCTTTCCTTCCCAGTATCCCAAACTTTCAGAGCAGGTCACCAGTAAGCAAGGCACTGGTGCTAACCCCCAGCACCATCATCTGAGACCCCTCAAAGCACCGTGGGTGTCTGGGACAGCTGGCATTGCTGCCCCTGTTTCCATGCCCACCTTCTGGCCCCTCTTGATGGGCTGAGGGGCTGGAGCTGCCTTGGGGCAGTTGGGAGCAGCCACAGGCTGGGTCTCTGTCTCTGCCTCCTTCTGCTTCTCCTCAGACAGCTCTGAGCTCTCTGAGTTGTTCCGCTGCTTCTTTTTCTTCATTTCCCTAAGGAGAACAATCCCAACACCCTCATGTGTTGTGCAGAGAGAGGAGAGGCTGCTGCTCTCCTGAGCATTCCCAGCCCTTCCCTGCCTCAGGGACCCAGAGGAACTGGACACAGCCCCTCCTCAGAAAACCCTCTCCAGCCCAGCTGTCACACTGTTCCCAGGCAGCACTGCCAAAGGCCAGAGCAGCAGCTCCCCTGCCAATGCAGGATGGACAATGGGACTGGAGTGGGTGCAGATGTGCCCAGGACATGGCGAGGGAATGGGGAAGAGGCATCGACCCAGAGCAGCTGGGGCTGCCCCTGCATCCCTGGCAGTGCCCAAGGCCAGGCTGGATGGAGCTTGGAGCACCTTGGAATGGTGGGAGGTGTCCCTGCCATGGCAGGGGTGGCACTGGGTGGGATTTAAGGTCCCTTCCAAGCCAACCACGCAGGGATTCCCTGGAACAGCCCCTGGCTCTCACCTCCTCTCCTTGGCAGAGAGATGCCTGCGGCCCTGGGCCCTGCTGTCACCCTGAGGAGGCAAAGGCAGCTCAGGGCAGATCCTGCCCAGCAGCTCCCACTGCTCTGGGCCACCCACAGGAGCTGGGACCTTACCAAGCTGGGCTCCTCCTCTCTGGGGATGATTTTCTGCAGGGATCTGTGGGGAGATGCAAAGGGAGCTCATCAGCAGATGCAGGGCAGCTCACCATGGACACACAGCCCAGCCTCCAGCAGCCTGGCTCTTTCAGCTTTCACAGCTTGGCACTCCCAGCTCTGCTGGCTGGGAAAGACAGGAACACTGGGATTCACTTGAGAAAACAATCTGAGCTCTCTGCCAGCTCCTCTCACACACACACAAGCACCAAACACAGCCTGGGCACCACGGGAGCCCCAAGGTGCTGCTTCCCATGAGCCTCACCCAATCCCTGCTCCCTG